TGTTAAGAGACACTGAAAAAGTGGAAAGGACCTGGGCTGGTGGCCAGACAGATGATCTGGATTTGAAATTTGGCATTACCATTTATTAAACCTGTAATCTGTGGCCAGTTACCTAATATCTCTGGTCTTCTGTTTCCCAGTCTATCCAACAGGAAGAGTTCGTAGTATCTACCCAGGGGAGAAGTTGCAAGGGGATAGAGTCATATTTCAAATTTGGCCTATACATTCAGTGAATGGAATTTTCTTCTCTTCTTGCCTGAATTACCTAAAGAAGAGGCAGAGCTGGCTATGCCTCTGACCCATGCTGGAACTAGGGTGAGCAGGGCCTAGGAGATAGGCCCTAAGTTCTGACGCCTCTTTGCCCTCTGCCTTCCCCTGTCTTCAGGTCCTGGAGAGTCAGAGAAGGTGCAGCAGCTGGAGGAGCAGGTGCAGAGCCTGACCAAGGAGCTGCAAGGCCTTCGGGGAGTCCTGCAGGGATTGAGTGGGCGCCTGGCAGAAGATGTGCAGAGGGCTGTGGAGACAGCCTTTAATGGACGGCAGCAGCCAGCAGATGCAGCTGCCCGCCCTGGCGTGCATGAAACACTCAATGAGATCCAGCACCAGCTGCAGCTCCTGGACAACCGAGTCTCCACCCACGACCAGGAACTGGGCCACCTCAATAACCACCACAGTGGTGGCAGTGGTGGAGGCGGTAGGGCCCCAGCCCCTGTCCCAGCCCCTCCTGGCCCCAGTGAGGAGCTGCTACGACAGCTGGAGCGGCGGCTGCAAGAGTCATGCTCTGTGTGCCTGGCTGGGCTGGATGGCTTCCGCCAGCAGCAGCAGGAGGACAGGGAGCGGCTTCGAGCACTGGAGAAGCTACTGGCCTCTGTGGAAGAGCGGCAGCGGCAACTCACAGGGCCTGCTATGGGCCGCAGGCCCCCTCAGGAATGCTGCCCTCCAGAGCTAGGCCGACGACTGGCAGAGCTGGAGCGCAGGCTGGACGTAGTAGCCGGCTCAGTAACAGTGCTGAGTGGGCGGAGAGGCACTGAGCTGGGAGGAGCTACTGGGCAAGGGGGACACCCCCCAGGATACACCAGCTTAGCCTCCCGCCTCTCTCGCTTGGAGGACCGCTTCAACTCCACTCTGGGTCCCTCAGAGGAGGAGGAGGAGGGCTGGCCTGGGGGTCCTAGGGGGCTGGGCCTCTGGCTGCCTGCTGCCCAGGGACGGCTGGAGAGGTTGGAGGGACTGCTAGCCAATGTGAGTGGGGAGTTGGGTGGGCGTCTGGATCTGCTGGAAGAGCAGGTGGCAGGGGCTGTGCAGGCATGTGGGCAGCTCTGCTCTGGGGCTCCTGGGGATCAGGACTCTCAGGTCAGTGAGATCCTCAGTGCCTTGGAGCGCAGGGTACTGGACAGTGAGAGCCAGCTGCGACTGATGGGCTCAGGTCTACACAAGGTGGGAGCAGCAGGGGAGGCCCAGCAGGCCACGCTAGAGGAACTGCAAGGGATTGTGGGCCAGCTCCAAGAGCGTGTGGATGCACAGGAGAAGACGGCTACAGAGCTCACACTGCAGCTGAATCTCACAGTGGCACAGCTGAGCCAGTTGAAGGGTCTTTTGCAGGCCCGTGGGGACGAGGGCTGTGGGGCCTGTGGCGGTGTCCAAGAAGAGCTGGGCCGTCTACGGGATGGTGTGGAGCGTTGCTCCTGCCCTCTGTTACCTCCACGGGGTCCTGGGGCTGGCCCGGGTGTTGGAGGACCAAGCCGTGGGCCTCTAGATGGTTTCAGCGTGTTCGGGGGCAGCTCTGGCTCTGCCCTACAGGCCCTGCAAGGAGAGCTCTCTGAGGTCATTCTCACCTTTAGCTCCCTTAATGACTCACTGCACGAGCTCCAGACCACTGTGGAGGGACAGGGTGCTGATCTGGCTGACCTGGGGGCCACCAAGGACAGCATCATATCTGAGATTAACAGATTGCAGCAGGAGGCCACAGAGCATGCTACAGAGAGCGAGGAGCGCTTCCGAGGCCTGGAGGAGGGACAGGCACAGGCTGGCCAATGCCCAAGTCTGGAGGGGCGATTGGGCCGTCTTGAGGGAGTCTGTGAGCGTTTGGACACTGTGGCAGGGGGACTACAGGGCCTGCGCGAGGGCCTTTCCAGACACGTGGCTGGGCTCTGGGCTGGGCTACGGGAAACCAACAGCACCAGCCAGACACAGGCAGCCCTGCTAGAGAAGCTGCTGGGGGGTCAGGCAGGCCTGGGCAGACGGCTAGGTGCCCTCAACAGCTCCTTGCTGCTCCTAGAGGACCGTCTGCAACAGATCAGCCTGAGGGACCTCACTGGTAAGGGGCAAGAAGAGGCATGGGGAGACCCTTTCCAATCCCTTTCCTTCTTCTCCCACCCCACAATAGCCCAGGCTTGATCTTCTCCCTGTTCTGTCCAGCATGAACTACAGCTCCAACCAATGTCCCAGGGGTCACAGTGTGTCCAGATATGATGCAAGGTTCTAGCTGCCTGCCTTCTCTCTGGCTGCTCAGATAGGTCTGTGGGTGGAGGTGGGATGTTGCTCTGCCAACATCCAGCATGGGCAGCAAGGGTCCCATCTCCCCATCATCCTGCAAGTCCCGCCTACTTCACCCCATCTCCCTATCCATGGAACCATCTTTCTCATCCATTGAATGCTCCCTTTAGGGCTTTCCTTCAACTTATTTTTGTCTCCATAGGGCCTTCTGGTGAGGCTGGGCCTCCAGGGCCTCCTGGTGTACAGGGACCCCCAGGCCCTGCTGGACCTCCAGGACTTCCAGGCAAGGATGGACAAAAGGGGCCTATTGGCCCACCAGGTATGTGGGCTGCGACCCCTGCTGGAGCTAGGGTTGCCACTCCCTGGGCAGCCCTTAGCTTGACATTAATTACACTCTGAGCTTGATAGAGAAGGGGAAGCGAGTAAGAAATAAGGGACTCCAAATGACTAAAAGTAGATAGAGGAAAGTGACTAGTAGCTGGCATAGTGCCTGCATTTGAATATGTTGGTCCCACTGCTGTACTGGAGACTAAGGCTGAGCCTACACAGACATCTGGGGGTGTGGAAGAAAGTCTAGAGGCAAGGACTCATGGTCCAACAGTCAAACAGAATGGACCTTACCTATCTTTCTTTTTGGTATTGGAAATTGAACCCAGGGTCGCTTAACAACTGAGCCACATCCCCAGCCTTTTTAAAAAATGTTTTATTTAGAGACAGGGTCTCATTAAGTTGCTTAGAGCCTCAGGCTGGCTTTGAACTCAAATTCTCCTGAGCCCCTGGGATTACAAGTGTGTGCTACTATGCCTGGCTATTCCTCCTTTTCTTGATCCCCCTTTTTTGCTTTGAAATTCACATAGCACCCAGAATGGCAGAAGTGACACAGCAGATGTTTGCTGAGTGATTTTGTGAGAGCTGCCCTCCTTCTCACTGCTCCTTTTTCTCTTTCCACAGGTCCCCAGGGTGAACAGGGTAAGTTCCTCTCATTAGGTGCCAGAGGGAGAGCTGATCTCTGGCTGGAGGATGGAAGTCCTCAGGCAGCCCAGATGGAGATCCCCTAGGGAAAGGGAGCCAGCTCTGGCTGAGCATCCACTCTAACACCTGCCCTACCCCCATGCAGGAGTGGAGGGGGCACCAGCAGTGTCTGTGCCTCGGGTGGCCTTTTCAGCTGCCCTGAGTTTGCCCCGGTCTGAACCAGGCACAGTCCCCTTTGACAGAGTCCTGCTCAATGATGGAGGTTACTATGACCCAGTGACAGGTAAGCTAGGGAGGGGCTGAACTGAGCGTTTGGGGGAAATGCAGGAGGCTGGGCAGTGATGTCTTCTCATTCTTACTCCTTGATATAATGCCAATCTTTTTACACTCTGACTTGGGGAGACCCCTACTCTAGGAATCTACGCTCTGGGAGGCCTTCCAGGCTACTGTCTTCCCTTCTGATCGCTATCCTTGTCCCCAGGTATATTCACCGCACCACTATCCGGACGCTATTTGCTGAGCGCAGTGCTGACTGGGCACCGACACGAGAAAGTGGAGGCAGTGCTGTCGCGCTCTAACCTGGGCGTGGCCCGCATAGACTCAGGCGGCTACGAGCCTGAGGGCCTGGAGAACAAGCCGGTGGCAGAGAGCCAGCCCAGCCCGGGTGCTCTGGGTGTCTTCAGCCTCATCCTGCCGCTGCAGGCGGGGGACACAGTCTGCATCGACCTGGTCATGGGGCAGCTGGCACACTCGGAGGAGCCACTCACCATCTTCAGTGGAGCGCTGCTCTATGGCGACCAGGAGCTTGAACAGGCGTAGGCGGGACTGGCCTGACCGCCAGGATGGTCTACACCCGCCACAGGGCCAGCAGGGCGTCGGGATCTCTGGGCTCCCGGCCTGGGTCGGGACACTCAGCCTTTGGCAATCCGCTGCACTTGGCCCCGCCACGATACAGGCGCCCACAGCGACCTCTCCCCACGCCAGGTGCGCGCCGGCTCGGGGACTTTGGCCTCCCTTTGTCCAGACTGAGTCTGACCAATGTCCCTTCCAGAATGCCCTCCAGGACCCGGACTGCGGTAAAGGAGCCGATCCTTGCACCCTTTGCTCCCTCAACCTGCGCTCTAGGCCGAATGCCCGGCTTCTGGGCTATGCCCAGCGGGCTCCGGCCCATAGCGCCATACTAAACAATTCAGGAATAAAGACACTTGGTTTTTTCTACAAAAACATTACTGTTCTGCTCCAGTGCGTGCTCAGGGGTTGACAGGAGCACACGTGACGCGAGGAGACGGAGGCCTATGGAGGGGACCCGGGGCCCGCTCGGCTCGGCTCCGGGTGGCTCCGCCCACCTAGAGTGCGGGGCACTGGCCGCCAGGTGAGCCAGCATTTTCGGGCCCCAGCCAGCACGTCCTCCTGGTCGTGCTTATTCTCCCGCGTCCGCCAGAGGTCGCTGGGCACGAGACCTTAGAGCAGCTGGGCTGGGTTCCCCGTCACGTGACGCCCCGCAGTCCGCCTGGCTCCGGGCAGCAGAGGTGGGGTGCAGGCTGGGAAGGCCCGGGTTTCGGGGTCGGGGCGGCGGGCCCGAGCTAGCGGAGGCTGGGGCTACGAGCTCAGGGCTGCGGCGGCCAGACCAGGCTCCACGCCATTGTCCAGGGTCAGGAGTCAGAGCTGCAGGTGCAGGACAGGGCGGGCCAGGTGGCGCATTACTAGCGCCTTTCGCGTTGTATTCTTGGGATTGCCTAGCTGCGCTCTAGAGGTTTGCATCCGCCCAGTGAGGAAACTGAGGGCGAGAAGTGGGAGGAGGTGCCATCTGCAGGGCCAGGCCACCTGCACCCCTCCCCACTGCACTTCTCCGGGGACGCCGCAGGCGCTTCCCTGAAGGAGGAGCCCCGCGCGCGGAGGAGGAGCCAGGGCAGCCCCCGGGAGCCAGAACACCATTCTCCAGGATAAGAGACAGATTCTGACAGGCACCCCGCCACGGGCAGGAGGTTCGGGGCACAGCCTCATGGAAGAGAAGCAAATTCTATGCGTGGGGCTGGTGGTGCTGGACATCATCAATGTGGTGGACAAGTACCCGGAGGAAGACACCGATAGCAGGTAGGGGCGCCCAGGCCCCTCGGAGACCCCACGGGCTGTTGGATCTCCAACAGCGCCCGGCGCCAGTGTTCCAGCAGGGACCCCACAGTGAGGCGGTGAGGGTCCAACCTCAAAAGCCCTCTGCCAGGGAAGCCTGGGGGCTCTCAGGAGAGAGGAGAGAATGGAGGACTTTCAAAATAAGACTCAGGCTTTGTATAACGTTTGTAGCCTGTTCCCATCTCAACTGTGGGACTGTGCCCGGCACCAGGATCCCCATTTTACAAGCAAGTAGAGACTGAGGGATGAAGTGATTCGCCCAAGGGGGCGCAATTAGGAAGACGCAGAAGGTGTGGAGCCAGTTTTCCTTTTTTTTAAAACTCCAAACCTATGCACTTGCCTCTCACCAAATTTACCTCTAATTTATTTGACACACACATATCTCAACTATTTCTTAAAAATATGAGGTCGCTTGCAGTGAAAGGTATGTGCAGTTAGATTGGCATTTGAGCTTTGACTACAGCTCAGGGCTCACTAGCTCTGTGGCATCAGGGTCAGGGGAAGCTTTTTTCTAATGTTAAATCCAAAAGGAATCTACCAGAGGCCTTTTTACAAAGACAGGTGAACAACAGTGGACACATCCTCCTTAGTTGTCTGGTGGAAGTTGAAGTTGAAAAGTTATTGGACAGTTCTTATCTTTACTTTTTATTTTATTTTTAGTACTTTTAGTCATAGATGGACACAATACCTTTATTTTATTTCTTTACTTTTTTAATCTGGTGCTGAGGTTCAGAACCCACTGCCTCACATGTGCTAGGCAAGCGCTCTACCATTGAGCTACAACTCCAGCCCTTATCTTTACTCTTGATAAGGGCCACCCAGTGTCAAGCCACTGAGGTGTTTCTGAGGGGTGGAACACTGGCTTTCTCTTGGTGCAACCTACTACTCCAAGCAATGAGAATTGCTCCTTAGGTATTGGTTGTCTCAACCAAGAACTCGATGAAATGCAGTTCAGGGCTGAACTCTGGCAAGACGCTACAGCATGGACAGCTACAAGGCTGGCCAAAGCGGGAGACCAGGTTGCCCTTCTGGCTTTGAGTCCACAGAGCCCTGTCACATACACTGTTTCATACCTTCCCTGGGACCTGTGTAAGCACCAGTCAAATCCTTCTTATATATGAGGAAACTGAAGATCTGGAGAAATTCAATGATTTTTATCAGGCCCCATATTTAGTAAGTAGCAGAGCAGCGATTACAATTTATGTCTCCGACCTCCAAGTCTAGTGCTGTGGTCCTCTGCCATCTCCTGTCTTTCCTGTCCTTTTGCTGCCTCTCATCTCATGGAGTTAACCCTCTGCTTTGGGCTGCTTTGTTTGTCAGAGGTTTAGAACCCCTTGTCAGGGTGCAGAGACAGTGGGGAAGGGGCACTAGATATGCTGCTATGTAGACCTAACTCACCTACCAAAGTAGAACCCGCCCCAGGACCTGGTGCTCAGTGAGGAGTTAGCCTTCCTCTCAGGAGAACATGCAAATTCCAGCACTGCAGTTTCTCCAAGGACTGTGTCAGGACCAAGGAAGACTTGAATTGTTGTTCTCCTTAAACTTGACGCTGTGGGAGGCCAGGAGAAGGAGGGCCTGCTAGCTCCCGTGCTGATGAGGCAGCTTCAGAAAGTGAATCCTATGGGAAGTACCTCTATAAGAGACCCTTCCCTTGTTTTCTGAGCTTCTTGCCCTCTGGGTGTGCTGCCTCCCTCCCCCACCTCATCACACTGTTTCTCTATAGCCTGGCTCCTGGACTCTGCTGGGCCCCTCAGAAGAGCAAACCTGAGTTGGACCCATTCCTTCATGGTCATCTGAGCTCTGCCTGTCCCAGGAATTCTGAGGTTATGGAGCTCAGCCAGACCTGTGAAGAGTGGCCCCTACCTCCCAAGGCCTATGTCAAGGAGAACCTTCCCCAAAGTGTCTTTATGTCTGCTGAGCAGCTCCACACAAGAGTATCAGTGAGACATCGAAAGGTTGTTCAGGGTGATATCCTGTACTCCTTCTTAGAAACCTCATTGATTCTTGGGCTTAACTGATTTTTGTTTCAAAATACAGGGTAAATAATAGTGGCTTTGGAGTTGGGAAACCTGGATTCTAATATCAACTTTACCATTAACTATTTGTATAATCTTTAGCAAGTCCCATTTCCTCTAGGCTCCTCCTTTCTTTGCTTGAAAATTTCCCTAAAGCACATGGCTTGATGACTTTTTGACCCTTTACAAATTTGCATCCTCTTTTCCTCATAAGATCATATTCCCCTGAAGGGAAAGTTTTGTGTACAAGTGTACCTTAGTCCAAAGATTCGATTTCACTTATTTCTCTTAATTAGTGGTTATTTATCATTTTTGTTGTTGTTGATAATGGAAATTCTTGTATATTTTTTTTTAAAAAAATTTTAGTTGTAGATGGACAATACCTTTATTATAGTTGTGGTGCTGGGGATGGAACCAGGGCCTCCTTAATGCCAGGGTAAGCCATATCCCCAGCCCTTACAAACTTCTTAAGGAATCACAGCATGGGGTTTGCTTTCCTTTCTTGCTCATTTCATTTTATAACTGTTTTATTGTTGAAGTTGACTCTCCCGAGACAGGAGTAGATTGCACATGTGATCCCTTTGAGAGGAGGCCTTAGGAGTTGATCTGGCCATCAAGGGGGAAGCTGAAAGGATGGCCTCTTGGGAGCAACTCTGACTGGAGGAAAGGGGTCATTGTGACCAAAAAGAGGACCCAGAGTTAGTGATGGAGCCCAGTGAGTGCTTTCCTGCCCTAAGATCAGGTAAAAGCATAAAAAGTAAATGTTTTGAGCTTGAATGTAACGCAGACTTCAGGGACAGACCTGGCCCACAGCTAAGCCCCTTCCCCTGGCTGAGCCTCAGCTGCTTAGGTGCTCTCTGAGGGACAGTAGTTGGCCTTGCTTCTCCCAGGACCAGTTTACTGGTGCTGCAGGGAGGGACCTGCCTTGTGCCTTCCAGGTGTCTCTCCCAGAGATGGCAACGTGGAGGCAACGCGTCCAACTCCTGCACCGTTCTGTCCCTGCTCGGAGCCCCCTGTGCCTTCATGGGCTCGCTGGCCTCTGGCCCTGTTGCCGAGTGAGTGCAGGAGGGAGCCCTTGCTGGGGGACACTTGCCTTCAGGGTGTGGAGAGAAGGGTGTCTGAACCCTGCGTGGGTGGGGTAGAAGAAATGAATAGTGGTCACCAGAAATGAGTGGGAGTGGGTACAGTGGAGTCCAGACTCTGAGACCTATCTGAGGTGGCCGGTCCACCATTCGGGTATTAACACTGTTCCTGCAAAGATTTCTTTTCCACAGCTCGCAGCAAAGCCTACCTAGGTTTCCCCACCTTTTGCTTCCTTCCTTGCTTCCTACAGATTGTGATGGATTCCCTTTGCCCTTCTCCAGACCTTTATCTTGACTGTGCTCAAGCGAGAAGGCAGTTAGGGACACACTGTCCTCACCCTCCTCAGGGATATCCAGCACCCATGATAACAGGGTCCAGGCTTACATTTTATTTCCCCATTGAAGGGCAGGGCCAATGTTCATGTCCTTGTTGTTCACTGAAGTAGCAAGAGTGCCCTGCTCGGGACATCTCAAAGCCTCGTGCTAGAGGTAGCCGAGAATCCACACCTCCCAGCCTGCTGTGGAGGCTGCGGCCCATAAGTGGCCCACGCGCTTTCTCCATGTTGACTGCTGCAAGGACCCAAAAGCCCTTTGACCTCTGGCACTGCCGACTCAGCAAGCACATATCGGGAATGAGGCCCACACTTTGCCCACTGTGGGCATCAGGGCAGACTGCCAGGTTGCTGTCCTGTGAAGCACAGCCCTTTGAACCCTGGTTTGAAGGGGCTGTTGCCAGAGGCCAACTTCCTGAGTCGCAGCCAAACTCTCTGCCTCAAGGAACTGGCATAAAGCAAGGAGGGGGAGAGAATCTGTCCTGGAGATGGGACAGAGGGACTTGGCACCAAGGGCTCGTCACTTGTTAACCCTCTTCCGTTAGCTCCTTCCCTCCTACTTGAAGGCAGAACTGTGGCTCTTGCCTAGGACGGTGGCCTCTCCTTTATAAAGCAATCATGCTGGTTGGTGGGCCATTCCGAATTCGCCTCATGTGTTCAACAAACATTTAATGAGCACCTACTCTATGCTAGGCACTGTAGGTGCAAAAAGTTACTTGGTAAACCAAACCTTATTTACTTTGGGAAAACTACTACTTAAAGTATCCTTGAGTTGTAAGATGCCCACAACTGTCTTATCCAACTCTAATGTTACTGCAAGTCAATGAGAAAACCCAGTATGGTGCTGGATTGCTGGGCATAGCTGCGAGCTCTTGAGCACAGAATAGTGTGATTCCAAGAAGGCTCAGGAACGGTGAGGCTGGGCTCCTAATTCTTCTGCTGGTGCAGTCTTCTTGAGGGGATGTTCCTGGAAGGTATTCTAGGAAGTTGTCCTAACCAGGCCCAAACTGGAGGGGCCTCAGGCATTCAAAGCCAGCTCATTGCCCAGGGAGCGTTTAACCTGGCTTGGAGAGAACACGCAAGTGAGCAGGCCCACCAAGCAGCACCAATTCCTGGCTGGGCACTATGGAAGCCAGCATAGCATTGAGAGGAATCATGGGAGGCCTGGAAGGGACTCCAAAGAGAAGAGTTCCATGGGAGTGATCATGCAGAGGGCAGCTGGGGGGTACAAAGTATCACCTTGGTGATTAATAATTAATTCTGCCTTGGCTTGGCCCTTGCTTGAAAGGCTACAATGCCCACACCTGCTTGATTCAAACAGGATATAGGTTCTAGACCTCAAATCTACCCCCTATCTGGCTTTATGAGCAGGAGCAAATCTTCCCAACCTGAGCTGTACTGGAAGACGGAGTCAAGAGTTAGAGTTTGCTGTAGTCAGGACCTAAAAGAATGTCCTTTTGTGTTTCTCTCTCTGAGCTCCAGGCTCTGCACCCCTGCCAGGCCCTCTTGCACAGCCTGTAGCAAACTGGGATTCTTAGTTCTCTCTCAGCCCCCTCTGCTCACACCTTGCTTTTCAGGGTCCCTAGTGGCCCTGCCCTCCAGTCCCCCAAACCCTTGCCGAACTGCACCTCCCCTGGGTTACTCCACCCTGGCAGTTTTGTCCTGGATGACCTCCGTCGCTATTCCGTGGACCTACGCTACACGGTCTTTCAGACCTTGGGCTCCATCCCCATCTCCACAGTCATCATCAACGAGACCAGTGGTAGCCGCACCATCCTCCATGCCTACAGGTTTGTGCACCTGTTTGTGCTTTGCCAGATGCCGCCGCTGTCATCAAACGTCCAGGATAGGACCCTTCTTCTCTCATAGGCCATGTGCTCCAGCACCGCTTTCCCACTCCTGTGGGAGGTCCAAGCCATGTGTGGGCTCTAATCTGTGTCTCCTTGCCCTTTTTCTGGCTCGGGCTCCACCCCAAGCTTCCTGGTGGCTGACTTCAGGCGGCGAGGCATAGATGTGTCTCATGTGGCCTGGCAGAGTAGGGGGGACACCCCCTGCTCTTGCTGCATCGTCAACAACTCCAGTGGCTCCCGTACCATTGTGCTCTACGACACGTAAGGCCCCCTGGCCTCAACCTGCCACAACCCACCAATCAGTTCCCTCATTCACCACTGGGGACATCCCAGCTCCCCCGCCAATGGCTTCTCTGAATCAGAAATTGCCCCCAAGTCCAACTGTTCAGTGATTTCTGAATTGTTTTCAATTAGGGGAGAAGTGAGGTGGGAAGAGGTGGGTTCTGGTCTGCCTGGTCACTTGGCCTTGGTCAACACCGATAATGGACAGGCAGACCTGTACAAAATGTGATTGATGATGTGATTCTTTCATAATTAGTCAATCAGCAGCTTGGGTGTGGGTGTGGGGAAATTGTTCCCAGGACAGAGGGGTGGGAGATTAAATCAATCCATATTATACCAACTAGGACAGGGGACTCGGATTTTCAGAGTCAGCCCCAGGGTTGCCACCCTGGGCATGGCATCAAGAGCTGGGTTCTGTGTGTCCAAAAGGGATGAGGGGCACCCAAAAGTCCTAGCATGATGAAACCAAACACACCACACACCATTTGCAGCCATTGCTAATGGAGAGGGAAGGGAAACTGGGTCAGCAGGTCAGGACCATCTGATGTGGTGGTAAACTTGGGGATATCCCTCTGGTGTCCCACGGTCCTCAGGAGAGGTCCTGTGGGCCTTGACATTCCTTCCTCTCCAGATTCCTTCCTGAAGAATCCCAGAAGTTCAGTTTACTGAGAACCTAGTGTGTGCCAGGAACTCTTAGGGCTGGGAGGGCCCAAGCCCAGCTGCCCTGGGGTTCAGGCTCTCTATTGTCTAGCATGACCACTGGACCTGGGGAAGGGGGAGGTTATGTCAAGACAGACTTTATGATCCTTGGGGTCCATGTGTCCCAGAGTGAGTAGGTACACATATGTGTTAGAGGTGACATTAAGATTGGGCAGTCATGGTCATCTGCCCATGAAGCAACAATCTGGAGCAACTTTGATCAAGGATACAACATGAGACTCACAGAAGGGAGGGGAGGAACTTTGGGGAGAAATGTTTCTTGCCCACTGGTCTCTATCCAGACTTGTTCACACACACATCTCCAACTTCAGCAGGTGGGTTTCAATCCCATGAGGTTGGGGGTTTCAATGCCGTGGAGAGATGGGGAAGCAGCCTCAGGTCACACAGTTAGTGAAGTGGACCAAGGATTCAGCCTCAGAACACAAGGGAGGACATCAGCTGGGTGTAGGTCTCTGTCCAAGGAGGGTTGAGATAGATCTCCTCCTGGGTCTCCACATGTAGGACAGCCAAACATAAACTTTTCCTGAAGTGCCAACTCTGATCTCAGGGTTACAACAGGAAGCTGCTCAACTCAGAATAGGGTGCTCTGGGTGTTATGAACAAATTCCCAGTGCTGAAGCGCCAGAACTGAGCAGGACTAGAGTTAGCTCCCAGCAGGGTGGCCATAGGCTTTGTAGTTCAATGGGAGAGAGCTTTGCTAGGAGCTAGTGTAGTCCTTGGCACTTTTAGAGCATTCTGGGAGATGTGGTCTCCAGAGCACACAGAGCTGGCCCCTTGGCACATGTTGTAGTTGAGTTTACCCTTAGAAGTGGTACAACATCAGACTCAGAAAGGGGAACCTCAGCAAACTGGTACAGAGCTTATCCTACAGCTGAAGCTGAGAACCCTGTGCTTCTTAGCACCCTGCTCCACCACTGGCAGTGCTAGTAGGCAGAGGGCCCCTAGCAGTCGTCAGTCAGAGATCATGGCCCTAGCTGACCTTATGCCCTTTCTTCTCTATCCTTCCCAACTTGTGACACAGGAACCTACCAGATGTGTCTGCTAAGGACTTTGAGAAGGTGGATCTGACGCGGTTCAAGTGGATTCACATTGAGGCAAGCCCTGCCTTACCTGTGTTTTTAGGGGTTCAGCCTGCCAGGCCCATCCACATGTTCTGCTTCCTTCTTGGGTTCTTTGGACTATGAAGTACCTTAGAAATAAATGAATCCACCCCCCCCCCCACCTCCCCTCTCCATTCTTCCTAAGGCTTGCAGGTAAGAAAACTAAGGCCCGGAAGGACTGGGTGAAGGAGGCACTGGCTCTGCTACTTTTTGTGTTATGGTGGCCTTGCCTCGTCCAGCTCTACCTCTGGCAGGAGGCTGGCTGCTTAGGGGTTGACCTATCTTACATCCGAGGAAGCAGGAATAAGAGGATTGGACCCAGATCTCAAAGAGAACTAGAACCTTCATCCAGGGGAGAAGTTTTGAAGTCTAGTCAAAGGAAACCCCAAGGAGTCCTGAGTTCCAGCCCTATCCCACGCATTTAACTTACTGTAGGTCCTTCAGAAAGCCTCTTATTCTATAGTGTTCACATCTGTGAAATGGGAGAGCTAGTTGGTAAGGTCTCCAGAGTCTATGGCAGCCCTAGAATTTTGTAACTTAGGATGAGGTTCCAGCTCAGCTTCCCCCAGCTCCTCTCCCTCCTCACCCAAAGTCCAACAGGGAGGGAGGATGAGCTGGATTGGCCAGAACTGCCTGAGCTGCCCTGTCCTGTCCCAGGGCAGGAATGTTTCAGAACAGGTAAAGATGCTGCAGCGGATAGAGCAGCACAATGCCAGGCAGCCTCCAGAGCAGAAGATCCGGGTGTCCGTGGAGATAGAGAAGCCCCGAGAGGAGCTGTTCCAGCTGTTTGGCTATGGGGAGTTGGTGAGTGCCCCTGCAGGCCCTTCTTGCCACATCCAGCTAACTCAGTTCTTAAACGGAGCTGGAGAAGCCTCTGACCTGCCTGCCACACTCAAAATGGCTGCTCTGGGGTGGCAATGTTGGAAGGGCCAGAGCTCCAATTGTAGGTTCTCCAGTGGCCAAGAAGTAGGATTTTTCTACCTCAGGTGGGTGCACAGGAATAAGTGTGCCCAGAGAGTTTGCTCACGGCCTGGAAAACCACAGGCATCTCCTCTTGGGCCTTCTGACTTTTTCTCTGCAAAATGAGGGAACTGAACTGTTCTCTGGTTTCAGGCCTCTTCCAACTCTGGGGTGTGAGTGGCAGGTTGTAGAATCCACTAGAATTGAGGGGAAGGTGGGAGGGAGACTTACACAACTGGGCAGAGCCTAGTACAAATTCAATTTAGGTAACAATCCCAGCATCAAAGCCAAAGCTGGTTGGAGATGTCTAGCTTTTGGTCCTCAGCCTTGGTGTATCATTTTAAAAAACAAATGTCTGAGCCTCACCTCCTCATTTTTTTTTTCTTTAATTGGTAGGGGTAGAACCAGCTCTCTTTTTTTTTTTTTTTTTAACAAAAACTGTTTCTGGAGATTCGATTGTGTAGTTAGTGGTGGATTTCTAGAAACCCTAGAGCTTTGTTTTACAGATGAAGAAACAGTCTCTAGAGGGCACAGTGGTGTGGGGAAAACAAAACAAAACTATTCCTGAGAACCAGGGTGCTTTGACTGGACAGGATAGATTTCACCCCAAGATGGCGTTCCAGGCTCTCTGTGGGTTTTCAATTCGTTGATCCTAGAGCAAATAGACAGGGTTTTGCCTTCACAATTCACAAGGCTATAGTCTAGCATGTTTTAAGCAAGCATAAAAACGGGACAGCAAGATGCCATGTTGGAGATTTATGTGGCCATGTTGGGGGAATCATGCTATAGCCTAGGGCCACACAGGGCTTTTGTTGGTAAGTGACTAGAGTTAGAGGTGGCTGCCAGCTTCTTTTCCACTGCCCACAGGTGTTTGTCAGCAAAGATGTGGCCAAGCACCTGGGGTTCCAGTCAGCAGTGGAAGCCCTGAGGGGCTTGTATGGTCGTGTGAGGAAAGGGTGAGTGGGGAAGCCAGAAGGGGCCTTAGGGAGTTGGTGGGGGAGCCTAGACTCCCAGGGTCTGCCCTGACAGGTCTGGAGTTGGGCCAACCCCCAGCTGAGTGGAAGTCTTACAGGGCCACCCTTGTCTGTGCCTGGGCTGAGGAGGGTGCTGATGCCCTGGGCCCTGATGGCCAGCTGCTCCATTCGGATGCCTTCCCACCACCCCGGGTAGTGGACACTCTGGGGGCTGGAGATACCTTCAATGCCTCTGTCATCTTCAGCCTCTCCCAGGGTGAGTACCCCAGCCAGCAGGGTCAGGGCTGAGGCCTACCCTTGTTAAGAACACCAGGATGACCCAGCTATTGTCCCTCCTCTAGGCAAGAGCATGCAGGAGGCACTGAGATTTGGCTGTCAGGTGGCTGGCAAGAAGTGTGGCCTGCAGGGGTTTGATGGCATCGTGTGAGAGCCATGTGGCAGGAGACACTGGCTCATCATCTCCCGTGAAGGCTGGCATCACTGGCTACCATTGCCTTCGCCCTTCTGTCTAGCCTGGCATCCAGGCTGCCCTGAACCCAGGCAGATGTGGTCAGTAGGAAGGACTCTGCTTGTGTCCTGTGTCCTTTGTCCTTCCCTTTCCCCATATCTCACCCTGCAGAGCCTCAGATCAAATAAATCTTCCCCTGAGCCAGTTTCCTCTGGCCACCTATTTGTCCTTCTTGATGTTGAAACTGCTCTGAGACTTTAACACTGTGGTCTTTCCTCTTTTTCTCCATTCCCCAAATTAACCTCCACGACTCCCAGAGGAGTTGCTGCCACAGCAGCAGGAAGCACCTGGTCTTGTTGTCAGCTGTGTGGGAGGCTCAGCTTTCCCCTGTGAAGATAGATCATCCACGAGTAGGGGAGAGGGAGAGAACTTGAGCTCTCTTGGTTGAAGAGGACATTTCATGCCACAGCCCAGCCATCCATCCAAATAACCAGAAGCCTTGAGGAAAGCCTCTGCTCTGTGCAGGTTCCACTCAGAGGCCCCAGAGCCAGGAGTCAGCATGCCAGACCACAGGCCAGGGAGCAGGAGCCAACTCTGTGGTTCTGTGGGGCCCTCATCGTCCAAAAATACCACTTCCCAGAGTCTGTCGTGTGGTGAAGGTGCAAATGTGGCCCAGATACAAAGTGTTGCTGTCCCTCTGGTAGGTCAGGTCCAAATGGTCCAAATCCTATTGTGGCCAACTCCCATACTGGAGTTGGCACAGGAATGGTGACTCCATGTAACGTGATCAAGAGCATGGGTATCAGCCTGAGCTCTGCATTTATTAGCCATGTGATACTTTATGGCCCATTATTTAACTCCAACTTCTGCAATTCCTTTTATGTCAAATGGGGCTAATTCTGCCTGGTCATAGAATTATTGTGAGGATAAAAATCAGACAACCTAAAACGTCAGAATCGTACTTGGTATATACTAAGCTCTCAATAAAATGATAGTTATTACTGATATTACTGGGGGGGTGTTGCACAGAGACAGGGTGATAGGGACCATCTGTCCTGAGCTACAGAAGGGCACAGGGCATCTGAACTCAGGGAACAGGAGGTTGTTTGGGCCCCAGGGGTAGACTGAGCCTTCTTCATGGAGTTATCTGCAGCTAGTACTAGAGACTCTGCTGTCTTGGCACCCCAGGCCCAGGCACACTGGGAAAGCTGAATTTCTGCCCCTCCAAGAGGCCTGTCTAGTTCCCAATGCCCTGTGCCTGCTGGGGATGGACTGGTGGAGAAATGGCCCAGGGGAAGAATTCATTTCATTGTTTATTTGTTGTTTGGGCCTGAAAGCTGTCCCTTAACTTACGGGGCCCCCCTAAGCTCAGAAAGACCTGCACAGAAAGACCTGCCATCCACTGGGGCCAGAAAGGGGACCCAGAGGTGGTCCTCATTCCAACGTATACACCCCCACCCTTTGAGCTTATGTTCCTTCACAGAGAACACAAGGGACACAGGCCTGTCTCCTCCAGGCTTACATCTCATCATTGTCCAGTTGAATATTATGGACCTCAAACTCATTTGGGGTGTTCTTGGACTCCTGTGTTTCTCCTGGAAGCTCTTTGCCTTCCCTTCCATTGTCCCTAGCCACTGCCTGTCCTGGGGCCTCCCCTCCAGGACCTGGGGCATCTCCTTCAGCATCTACCTGTCCCCTGGCCTCCCCTCCAGGACCTGGAGCATCTCCTTCAGCCTCTACCTGCCCCCTGGCCTCCCCTGTGGAGCCTGGGGTATCCCCTTCAGCCCCCGCCTGATGCCCAGCCTCCTGTATAGGCTCCAAGGATTCCCTTCTGGCTTCTTCCTGGCCTCCAGCTTCTTCTCTGAGACCCAGGGCTTCCAGGGTTTCTTGTTTCAGTGGGATCTTAGCCAATGGGGGCTGTCTTCCAGCAGCTTGTAGTTCCTGAGGAGCTGGAGCGAGGGGCTCTCTGGGCTCTGTATGCCCTGCATTCCCAGGGGCCTCTCCTGGGAAGTTGATGAGCTCTGCAGGGGTCATGAGCCCATCCCTATTCAGGTCCTGGGTCTCGAGCACCTTGTCCACTACCAGGATCACCTGTGGAAGCACAGAATCACCATGGAGTCTCTAGTGTCCAAAGATGTTCCCCGGAGCCTTGTCCCTTCCCAATGCCCCCCATTCCTGCCATGCAGGATCTAATCCCCCTCCCTCTTACAGGAAATCTGTAAAGAGTCATGATGAAAATATCCAAAGTGCCAAGGAGCTGGTCTCCTGGTCTCCAGCAGAGCTTACCGGGTTGATGGGAAAGTCAGCAGCCCTTGGAGCCAGAGCTGCTGTCAACATGGACAAGAGCTCCAGGCCATCCAGCTGTCCACTCTGGTCATAGTCATGGAGGGCAAAAAGGTAGAGGAGAACTGGGGAGGAGAAGCTGAGTTAGAAGAGGCCCTGAGGACGGGTGGAGAAGGCAGGAGCCAACAGGGCAGCCGGGGCTCAGTCCCAGTCTGGCTGCCCTGAGCCTCCCAGCCCAGCAGCCCAGCAGCCCCTCACCCTGTTCCCGATTCATGTGCTCTGGCTCCTCTTCCATTCTTTCTAGTCCCTTTAGGTAGTTCTGCAGAAGTCTGTTGGGAAAGTAGCAAATCAGCCCCGGCAAGGCCAGTCCCCAGGCCTGACATAGTCACCCAAGGACCCAGCCCAACCTACTCACCGGAGCTGCTCTGGGTCTGGCTGGAAGGGGTTGGACAGGGTCTGCTGCTGAGCTTCAGGGTCTGGCCTGGAGGAGAGAAGGACCAGCATTGCAGAGAGCCCAACCCGCCAGCCTTCCACCACTGTATCCCAGTAGAGTTCTCTCCCCAGAACCAAAGGGAGTTGTTCTCTCAAATTCCCAAAACCCTTGTGGGGAAGAAGGCTTCCGGACTCCTTGGATTTTGTTTTTGCAATTGCCTTGTTTAGACGTTCAGTGAAAACCCAAAGAAAGTATCAGGTGAAGGCCAGGTGCGGTGGCCTGTAATCCTGTAATCCCAGCATCTCGGGAGGCTGAGGCAGGAGGATCAGGAGTTCAGAGCCAGCCTCAGCAAAGCGAGGTGCTAAGCAACTCAGATCCTGTCTCTAATAAAATATAAAATAGAACTGGGGATGTGGCTCAGTGGCCCAGTGCCCCTGAGTTCAATCCCAGTGTCCCCTCTCCCTACAAAAAGAAAGTATCAGATGAGGTAGAGGCCAGATAAGGCCACACCTTATAGACGCAAGTCAGGGGCCTAAGAAGACAGTCCAATGAGTGGAGGACAACATGGATCATGGCAGCCTACTCCTTCATTGCTGGGAGCCAAGGAGCAGGTCTCTACCTTGGCCTGGCAGTGTCACCCAGGTTTAGATAGATAGACAGATTACAATTAACTATTTTTTCAAGGAGAGGGTGCATATGTCAAAATGTGCTCCCAGTTCTAGATGGAGCTACCTGTTTGCCCTTGTCAGTGCAGGCTTGTAATCCCAGAAAGCTGGCAGGAGTTGTTGCAGTCATTTTGGTCACAGGTGCCAGCCTTTGCCACTCTTCCTATATTTTTCTCCATACCTACCCAGTATATCCAACTGCACAGCATAAATAAATAAGACCTTCAAAAAGTGATTCTATAAAACAGAAGTGACGTGGGAATGATGTCTATTTCTTTGGTATTCCCACAAGTAGGTCTTGATTAGAGGACCAGAGCCCTTTTCCTGGCCTCTGGCTTCTTACTGGCGCTTCACCCATATTGGAGCTGAGTTCTCGGCTTCCAAAGGGCTTCAGCCAAGTGTTGAATGCCAATGTTGTGACATTCTGATAGGCACAGGACAGGTGGTTGGAGTGGGGGATTCAGAGTTCAGGGAGCCTACTCCCCAGTCCCAGCTCCCAGAGGCACCCACCACACCCTCTGAGTTCTCCCAAAACTCTTCCTGGTCCAGCCTAGGCCCTGCCCTCCTAATCCCTTACCTTGTGGCGCCATCCTTGGGAGCAGCTTGACTCAGCGGGAGCAGCAGCAGTGGCAGCATTAACGCTCTCATCTGCCAAGGTGACATCCTTCCTAGAACTGGATCTGGAAATGGAATTAGGGTGTCAGGGGACAGGGGTGTCTGCCACCATATTGGGAACCAGTTGGGTCAGACAGAAATGCCTTCTTTCCTTGCCTCTACCTGCAGTGCAGGGGACAGGACTCTTGCCCAGGGAAGATTCCTGGGTGGATCTTAGCACATGGCACTGTGTTCAAAATCCATCCTACTCCAGCTCTAGCCCATAAGAGCAGTGCTGGGGGGCAGGGGCCCCTCCCCAGAGTACATGCATTCTGTCCCTGTCAGCCTGCAGGGTGCTCAGAGAGGTACCACCTTAAGTGGCACCTAACTTTAGTTCAGGTCACTTGTTTTTGTTTATTTTGCAGTGCTAGGAATGAACCCAGGGATTTATTTTAAAAAAATGTTTTTTGACTAGTAAAGCAATCTTCTACTGAGCCACATCCCCAGCCCCAGGCCATTTAAAAAAAAATTTTTTTTGTAGTTGTAGATGGACAGAATGCCTTTATTTTATTTGTTTATTTTTATGGGGTGCTGAGGATCGAACCCAGTGTCTCAGGCATGCTGGCAAACGCTCTGCCTCTGAGCTGCAGCCCCAGCCCCCAGGCCATTTGTTTTATAGACAGAAAGGGAAAAGACAAGATTAGCTACTCAGGGAGTCATATGAAGACCAAGACCTAAACAGAGACACAGACAGGGAGACAGATTGTTAGCCTGTGCTTATTAAAAACACACTGGAAGACAAATCCAAAAAAGGCACAGACTCCTTGAAAAATTCAAACTAAGGTATAGACTGAAAGCACCAAATCAAAGTCCAACCACAGTGGCCCAGGAGTTGCTGTTTACCAAAGGCAGTTAGGAAAAGCAGATCTCAGTATAAAGGAAAAAATAAGAATTTCCCCTGAGAGCTATATTATGTAGGTTCATACGCCAAAAAAAGAAGTCACTTGATTATATGGAAAGAGTCAAATTGGCGGAGCCAGGGTTGTGGCTCAGCACTAGAGTGCTTGCCTAGCTGCATGAGGCACTGGGTTCGATCCCTGACACCACATAAAAATAAGCAAATAAAATAAAGGTATTGTGTCCATCTACAACTAAAAAATAAATAAATGATTTTTAAAGAGTCAAATTGGATCAATTGATGAAATCAATCAATTGAAAACAAAACACAAAGCTTTCTGATTAGCTCCAGGTGTGTGTATATATTAATGTGAATTTTCCAGGAAGTAAAAGCCCACCAGAGTTCAGCTCTGAAACCCTAAACCCATCGTCAGATGCTTGATGGTCAAAGCAGAGGATCAGGAACCCCCTCACATGGTACCCTACACTCTGGCTGACACTGGATTTTCCTAGAGGGAGGTTTGTTAGTGTAGTTAGCTCGAGATGAAAAGGAATGGTAGAAGGGGAAATGAGAGACAGGGTGGCTATAAAAGGGTCCCTAACTGGCAACTGACCTAGAAGACTCAATACCCATTGTGCCACACCATGAGGGCTATAGAAAAGTAGGTAGACCACTCAGAGCCACTGAAGGGCATCACCAGTCTCCCCAGCTGCTACATTCCAGAAAGAGATCGATCACATCCTTCATGGATTTATGGGTGCACATCATATTGCCAAGGTCACATGTACCCACAAGCTGCTCTGAGGGTCAGGTGACTATTATATGACCTTCTGCTGGAAATGCTAGGTCAGAAAGGACCAAGTGACCCAAGTACGCAGGCACATGCCATGAGGGATTGAACCCAGGTGCACTGAGCTACCTTTTTTATGTTTTATTTTGAGACAAGTTCTTGCTAAGTTGCTTAGGGCCTCACTAAATTGCTAAGGCTGGCCTTGAACTTACAATCCTCCAGCCTCAGCCTCCTGAGTTACTGGGATTACAGGCTTGTACCATCATGCCTAGCTGCTCTCAGTTTTCACACAGCACAGGCATATGACTTCCCCCAAAACAGGCAATAAGCAAGACAACCTCTGGGCCCAGAGAGGCATGGCTACCTGCCACTCCAAGATTTAGCTCTACTACAAATTCCCAACTCCAATTTGGGCCTATAATAATTTCCATTGGTAAAGCCTAATCATTTCATTAGGTCCCTGGCTGATCTGTGGAGCCCTCTCTCCAGGGTGTATTTCACTTTCTCTTTCCTTTCCTGCAATAAACCTGCTCTAATCCCTGCCCTGCTGTACTTCTGTTTCTGCACCTGAGTAATTATCCTAATTTTGGGTATTGCACCCAAATACTGAGGATCATTTAGAGTTGACTCTCAACTTCTAGAAACAAGTTCATAACTTTAATTCAATTCTCCAAGAGTTCCACAACCCCTAATAAAGTCCAGAACCACTGCTAGAGTGGACATCAATTTCCTGTGAGGGGTGGAGCAGATGAACATCTGGCTCATGGGGAGATAAACGAAAATTCTACCTTTTTGAGTGACCTTGAGCAAGAATCTACAAAGCATGGAAGTCCACAAAAAGGTGAAGCCTCAGTGATGGTAGAACCTGTCTTCATTTTTCTATGGGTATGATTGGCCCAAACAGCCACAGTGAAGACACATAGTTTATTGGTGTCTCTAAGCCCCAGTCACCAAAAGAATGTTGAAACCACAGCTTCCCTAAAAGTGTTTGCCAATACCAGCTAGCACTTACAGATCCTTGGGTTTTAGTTGTTGTGCCCAGAAGGAGAAAAGGTCTTGGGCTTGCTCAAGATAGGCAGGTGGAACTGACATCTCCATATCAACATGTCACCCTCAAAGGCATATAGACCAGTAGCTGAGTGAGCCAGCAAAATGCCCAGACTGCCATGTCTTGTAGTATGATAGTAAGTGTCCCAAAGAAAGTAACTACAAAGCTGGATAAAAATAGAGTATCTTTTCAAAAGCATCGAGTTGGCAAGAAATTTTCAGTGCACAAAAGCACCGTGGAAATAGTAATCTGGGAGAAAAGAAAGCTTGACGTCAGCTTTTGCCTCAAGAGTGGCCGCCAAACTCAACCCACATGAACTTGAGCTAGCAGTTTGAGTGCTGCATGTAGCAGAGGAGATCAGCAATAAAAGTTGGGTTCACCAATATGAAGAGATGAATAGGAAATTTCCTAGGTGAAGCTGGCTCCAAAGAGCTATGTCTTCAATACAAGGGTGAACAAAAGTTTGCCATGAAGAAAGGAAGCAAAGAATCCTGCCTATCTTGACGGTGGCACCAGGTAGAGGGAGGAAAAAAATTCCCCTGAGAATTTGATTTAGCAGGGAATTGAACCCAGGAGTACTTAAACACTGAGCCCCACCCTCAGCCCTTTTTATTTTTTATTTTGAGACAGGGTCTCACTAAGTTGCTTAGAGCCTCGTTAAATTGCTGAGGCTGGCTTTGAATTCACAATCTTCCTGCCTCAGGCTTCAAGCCAATGGGATTACAGGCATGTGCCACTGCACTCGGCTTCCCTGAGAATTTGTTCTAATGTGGGTATGAGGACTGGATTAATGCAGATGTATGGTTCAGAAAACCTAGAACCATAAATAATTTATTTTGAAGGCGATTTGGTTGGTAGTGGCTCCAACTGACTGACAGGAGGGACCCAACTCCAATTTGGGCCTATAATAATTTCCATTGGTAAAGTTTCAAGAAATTTGAACTCACAGCCAAAAAGTTATAAATATGAGAAGGAATAAGACATTGTGAGTGAAAGTCAGCAGAACAAGAGCAGGCAAAAGTAGGCCCGCAAAAATGAAATTGCTATATTGGAATTATCACACATGAAATATAAAGTAAGTGTATTTAATATACTTTAAGAAATTGAAGGGAAGCTTGAAACTATGAGAAAGAAATGAGATTATAAAAATGATCATGTCTGTAATCCCAGCAACTCCGGAGGCAGAAACAGGAGGATTACAAGTTCAAGGCCAGCCTCAGCAATTTGGCAAGGTCCTAAGCAATTTAGCAAGATCCTGTCTCAAAATAAAAAATAAAAAGGGCTATAGCTCAGTGAAAAAGTGCTTTGGGGTTCAATCCCCAGTACCCAATCAATCAATCAATCAAGTAGACTTGAAGAACAAAATCAAAATTTTTAGAAATAAAAAACTAATTTAAAAAATGCAACAGGTAAGTTAAATAGATTAGACATAGCTGATATGAAAATTAATGAGTGGGCTGGGCCTGTGGCTCAGCGGTAGCGCACTTGCCTGGCATGTGTGAGGCACTGGGTTCGATTCTCAGCACCACATATAAATAAATAAATAAAGGTCTATATCAACAACTTAAAAAAATTTAACAAAAGAAAATTAATGAATTGGAAAATAGATCTGAATAAATTATTCAGAATGCAGTTTACTGAGTTAAAGATAAAATATAAAACAAAGGTTAAGCAGTATGAAGGATGGAAAAAACAATAGACAAAATTAGATAGAAGCAGTATTTGAAAAGATACTAGCTGAGACTTTTCCATAAGGTTGCAAAACACTAATACTCCAACCCAGGAAGCCCAACAATCCCACATGGACTAAATAAACAGAAAGACATCTCTGAACCTATTGTTCTTAAATTATAGAACATCAAGAAAAAGAGAAGGTAAGGTGCTTAGACTGACAGCAATTTCCCCACAGTAAGTAATGCCAAAATGCAGTATTAGAGAATTTGTATGTGTTCAGAGAGCAGGAGTCAATGCTATTTTAGAATTCTGTTCTCAACAAAATTATCTTTCAAGGCTATGGTTATAGCTCAGTGTTATAGCTCAGCTTAGCATCAATTCCCAATGTGGCAGGAAAAAAAAGTCTTCAAAGAAGTAAAATGAAAACAATTTTAGATGAACAACTTAAGGGAATTTATCATCAACATTTCTTCATCGAAGGAAGTTCTAAGGAATAATTTCTGGGAAAGGATCTTAGAAGGGAGGTCTGAAATGCAAGGAAAAATGTTAAGCAAAGGAATTAGAGAATACGTGAGTAAATCTAAACAAACAGACCATTAAGCAATGATAATTAGGTTAATAGATGGAGCAAAAAAGGTCTGAACTACAATATATAGCAATAAAACACATAAAGTGA